ACTGTGACCTTTTTTTATTACACTTAAGACAAAAAAATCTTCTTTTCTATTACCAGAATAACTGAATCAAAACATAATTCTGTTTCACTTTTTTGTACAACAGTTATTTGAAATGAAATGATTTCACCAGCCAAACAAATGGCCAACACAAGCTGCATGAGAAACTTACAAATGTAATGAGGGCTATTCATTACTTAACTAGCAATTTCAAAAGTGACACTGACTTTGATTCAGAGCTGAAAACTAGCTTCAAATTCAGAAATCAATATTTGAGTATATCAATATTAATTTTGTTGTTCAATATAAAGAGAGAAGCATATTGAATATCAGCAATAAGAAAAGTAGTATAAATCAAATGTCCGTATTGCTTTTCAGATGGCTGAAATTAGTTGTGTTCTCCCTGAAGCATGTCTTTTTTGTTTAAGTTGAAATACATAACTGACTTTGAAGAAAATATTACTACCTTTTTAACAATTCTACTATATTCGCTAACGAACACAACTCTGGAAATTGCTCTTGTTGAGATAGTCAGGGATGCTGATGGGTTCCTATTAGCTGATTTGATTTGTCTGTCCATTAGTGGCCATGTGTGTAGCTGTCTAGGTCCTAAACTCCTTCAGCATCTCTAAATTTCTACCTTGCTTTCCTTGTTTGCATCTCTCCTTAAAACCTATTTTCCTTAGTTTTTGGTTACTTGTCCTAATGTTTCCTTAAGTGGTTTGATGTGGATCTTTATTTGGAAGTGCTCCGTTGAGACTTTTCCATAAAAGGTGCTAGATAAATGCAATTTGTTGTCATTTCTGAGAGAGTTATCTCCAGTTATTTGTTGCTTTAAGTTGCAAGCTTCAAGTGTGCAAGCTTCTGCATGCAAACCCATCTGGTCAATGATGTTGTGACATTGGTTACGGAACTGAATAACAGTTAAATAGATTAAATTCATTTGAACATCTGTACCTGTGCAGGAGAAAACAGGTTAGGTTTAACTTTCAATATTGCCATTGAGCATAATATGGAATCTTTGTAAGAGTAGCTGAAGTACTTGCTGCACCTCCTCCTGAGACCATCATTTGGTAAATATTGTTGGTTTGGTGAGGAAACACTGCTTCTGGCAGGTTACCATACCTGAGAGTGATGAAAATTCAAACATGCAGCGTTTAAAAAACGATGTTACTTAAATGAACATGGATGTATGAGGCAGTGGTCATTCAAGGTAAAATGGAATGGTTGCCCTGAATATACTATTGTTAGTGAATCAGCAATCCATTCAACACTCCACATATTACTGTTCAGAATAATTTCACACCCACAGTATCTGAAAATACAATACCCAGCAGAGCCAACAGACCTTAAGCTTCATCCATGAAATTGGTGGTTGAGGCAGTAATTCGAACATAGCCTTCCCTACTTAAATACTGGTGTACACTGGAGAAATAGGATCAATAACCTGACAAGGGCAGGTGAGCAAATCCAGATATTTGCAACTACTTACATTTCATTAATTCATTTCCTTATCCATTATTCTCCTCCCCTACCAGTCCTTGGATCTCATGGAAACTCATTCATGCAAAGTTCAATATTTCCAACACTATTAACTATCACATTGTAAACATATTGCCTTTTATTTCCCTTTTATACATTCACGGGATGAGGGCCTCACTGGCTAGGCAGCATTTATTGCCCATCCCTTATGCCCAGAGGGCAGTTAAGAGTCAACCACATTGCTGTGGGTCTAGAGTCACATGTAGGCCAGACCAGGTAAGGATGGCAGTTTCCTTCCCTATGGGACATTCGTGAACCAGATGGGTTTTTCCCGACAATCGACAATGGATTCAGGGTCATCATTAGATTCTTAATTCCAGATATTTATTGAATTCAAATTCCACCATCAGCCATTGCGAGATTGGAATCCTGGTCCCCAGAACATTATCTGGGTCTCTGGATTAACAGTCCAGCGATAATATCACTAGGTTGTTGACTTGCTCGCCGAGCTGGCTTGTTTTTGCTCAGACGTTTCGTCACGATGCTAGGTGACATCATCAGCCGAGCCTCTGATGAGGCTTCAATGGAGGCTCCACTGATGATGTCACCTAGCATGGTGACTAAACGTCTGAACAAAAACAAGCCAGCTCGGCGAGCAAGTCAACAACCTCACCCACAACCCGAGCTACTGATCTTTGCCAAAACTTTAAATAATACCACTAGGCCATCGCCTATTGTATGGCGTCCTAGGGCATTTCTTTTAAAGGGAAATTCCACCTGTGAATTTCATTGTCACAACATTCATCACATCAGGAATCACAACTGCTGCTATTTCATCACTAATGGCATTATGACACTCAGCCAGTTCTAATGCCAATGCAATTATCCACTCAGGAGAAATCACCAATTTATTTATAATAGTTGCCACTGGTGAAACATCTGAATACTAAGACCATCCTCAATTTTGGACACTGCAAGGCACAAATATTCAAAACAGCTGCATTTAGGGAGCATTAATCTCCTGTAAATGCAGTGGAGATAATTTATAGTTTGAAATAATAACATTTAAATGGGAGGAGTCCAGTACTCTCGAATTGCAGGAAATTTCCCATGACTCTGGCATACTGGGAAATGTCACTGGAATCAAGCAGTAGGAATAGCTTCTGAAGATATGCTGGTTAGCAGTTAATGCTTGCTTAATAGATGGGTCAGCTGAGCACCACAGTTGCACATGGCTTTCAAGAGCTGGCTGCAATTATTTAATCTGTGGTGTATAGTAGTATCTCTGAACTTTTCTAGCACCAAGAGGCTGCAAATAGCGTGTGCAGATATAGCAGACTTCCACAGAATGGGACAAAGTCTGCTTTCTTTAAGCACCCTTCAGTGCCAGTATAAAAGGCAGCTAGAGTCATGGGAGAGCACTCATTACTAACCCTCCTGCCATTCCTACTGATTTATTTCATTTACACAATAAACGCTGCAATGTTAGGGTAGAAGTAGAGAGCACACCACTAACTGAGTCTGTTTCGTCAGAGTAATCGGAATCCTAAATTACCTTGAAGTAAATGGTAACTCGTGGTTCAGCAGAATTTCCAATGCCTATCCTAACTCCAATCAAAGGTCTTCAGTTTATTTATAAGAAGTTTTCTTTTCTGAGTTATTGTATTCAATTCTGTGGATCTGCAAAGTGTGTTCACTGGTAAAGTATGCTATTCTCAGCCTCTCTATAACTTTTCAGTAATTATCATTTACAATGCTTGAACACAGAAAAAATTAACCAACCACAACAGCGTGGATGAGTTAGTTGCAAGACCATGGACAGCGTGTAGAAGATCAACATGATATTCCTAATGACAGTTTTATGTACAAGAAAAGTTCATTAGAACAGAAAATTAATGAAGAAATCCAGTAGAGACATTCAATATTTTGAAATATTTTGACTGGGCAAGAATACATGCTTTGACTGAAAAGTCAGTGATCGTCATTTAAAACTAAGTAAGAAGAGAAAGTCATCACTGTGAGAAAGAGAAATCAGCTTTGGAGAGGTTTTATTATCTAGAGGATTGCTGGAGTATGAAGTAGGTTACTATAAAGAGTGATTTGTTTATTTATTTTTATTTATGTTCATGTGTTTATTAAATATGTTTATTTATTTTTAGTAGCAGCATGAAATGTCTTGCGTTACCTGAGGCTATGCCAGTTGTTGTTTCTTCTTACAGGATACTTCTGTCAGTCCAAAGAGATGTTCAACCAGCTACACATTTGAGCAACACTTTGTACGAGTTTCAGTGCTAATGTGATGCCAGGCACGCAGGCTGTGTTTTTCAGTGAATGGTTGATTGAATCAACAGTGCGTTCCTTCAGTTGTTCATAAAAGGCTAAGTATAGAGAGTACTCTGCCTGTCATTGCAAAACCAAAAAACAAAATCTCTACTGCTAGATACGATTGGACAGCACTTGCTGAACAACCCAGACTATCCTAATCTCTAAAACCAATTTAAGATAACCAATCAAACCCATAACATAGCTCATTTAGAAGGAACATGTACTCATATACAGAGACCCATTCTCTGCAAACAAAAGGAATATGTTTAAGCTTTGCACCTATATGGACAGCCTATGGATCCTGTGTGCTTTCTCCACAGTGTCATATCAGCTACAGTCAGCTTGCAAATCAATCTGTACCCTTTACTCCTGTACAATAAATTGTTGCAATTGTTTGAAATTTGGCATTCTTGTGTTTGCCTAATGATTGCAAAATGGAAAGATTTGTCAATTTGTCCTCTTTTCAGCAATATTCAAAAAGTTCAAAATGATTCTGACTGTTGTATGGGTTCAGATACCTCAGCGTTCTGGCCTATACTTGCATGCTGCAAGTGTCTCAGGTGGGCAACCTTTGATCTTCAAACAGACAATCCTCCAATTTGCTTTTCCCTTTAAATAAAACTGGTATAGTTAACTGGCATAATATGATAACAAGGCTACATGATAACAAGGCATTAACCTTCAGGCAGAGTTAGCAGTAAGTGACCAGCTACATGTTGATGCAACGACATTTCTTTCAGTCCACGTAGGGCTTTGTACACTGCCCAGACAAGATGTTCAACAATCAGCTTCTATGCTTTCAGAAACCTGAGTTAAAGGAAATGTGTATGTTTAAGGACAAAACAATCAGTTAGCTTGCTTTAAACTAATATGACAGACCTCCATACTGTTTGTTTTTAAATTTGATGAGAGTGATCTGCTTTCTTTGCTATAGACAGAGAAAAAGACAGGTGTGAAACATAAAGGGGGTAATAATGCTGCAAATGTGATGACAAATATTTTCACAAATTATGCTGCAAACAAAATCAGTGTCATGATTTAATCTCCTCTACAGTGTGGCAAACACTTCAATAGAAAGTAACACATAGAAACTTCTTAGGTTAAACTATTAAGATAAATAGTCCTTAAAATGGTTGTATTATTTTTAATCTCTAGCAAGTTTTAATGCATCGATTTTATTATGCCTCGCACAGTACCTGCTGTCGAAGGTCCAGGATGAGGTGCTGCTTTTCTTCTACGTTTGATATCTCCTGTACACAGAGATCCGAAATGAACGCTTTTTTGTCTGCAAGTAATTATCAAAGAAAGTTATTAACTGGGACAAAACACCACTGCCTGTCTCCATACAAACACAAAGCCTGTATGATCTAATGCTGAATCAAAACACCCACAATGAAGATGTAGCTGCATAATAAAGCTACCAATCTTGTTTATATCAAAACATAATTATGCTTTTGGACAACTACTCAGCAGCCAAGCTGCATCATAAATTGTTACCAGAATGAATAATATAAAAGGAATGCTTTTTAATTTTCAAAACTGGCAATCTTTCCAGCTCCACATAAAATCAAGCAGCACTGCTTTGACAGGCAAATGTTGGAGATTAATTATCTATAGGGATTACAATACAGTTGCTGAGATTTCAATTGGCCACTAATACTTCACTGTCAGCATCGCATTCATTAACGCACAAACGGGCAAAAATTGAAATGAATCTTTTAGATAGACCTCCAATTGAACCTGAAGACCCCATGAGCACCCAAGGTACAGGCTTAGCAGAGAGCTTTGCTTCAGTAATTTTGCAAAGAATTGATTATCTGTTATGCTGCATTGAGATATCTACACTATTGATCACGGAGATTAAGGTACTCAGGCATCTTTTATTTTCTCATAGAAAGACATGCTATACTTGCAACAAATAACACTAAGTAAGGACTACTTTGTTATTGTTGTCACTCTTCATGTAGAACACAGCAGTTACTTTTTAATTTAAAATCAATGACAGCCTGAAAGGCAGCCTCGTTCCATCAGCATAAATGAATCATTTATCTTTCCAAGGAATACTAGTTTGATCATCATACAAGGTGAGAGCAAAAAGTATATATTTTAATAACACGAAATGCTTCTGAATCACAATCGTCAACAATTATAATTTTGGTGAATTTGTTTTTCTTGTTTTCAAACAAATACCAGCAGGTTACACTTTTTTAACTGGATACAGTGGTGGAAAATGTTACACACAAACTTTATAGAAGGACATTTCAAATGCTATTCATCTATAATGAACAGCGTTCTTTTATTTATTAACTCATCCAGATTTTGAAAGATACAAAATAAATGTGAGTTTCCTTTATACTAATGTCAGCTGAAGGCCCCCTGTAAGTTTTTTTAACGATTTATTTGTACTTTGATATTTAACATCAATCCTTATGATCTGGGCCTTGTTAACTACAAAATATCGCTTCAAGATCAAAACATTGTAACACTTCTGGCTGGAAACCTATGCTTCACCTAACACGTATGAGAGAAAATTTCAAAAGATATTTCTAAAAGTAATCAAATAAATCAATTTTTAATGATAAAAATATTAGAATTCCAGCATCTCATTTTTATTCAGTTTTCTGAAATTCCAGTTCACCAAAGACAACTTTTGCAATTTGGAAGCTTAAAATACATGCAAGATAACAGCTTGGAAGTAGAGGTCTGAATTACACAAGGTACCAGATTCGCTACAACTACCTCCCTTACTAATGGGCTATTAATAGAGTGGAGATGGGATTTCTGCCCCTCAAGGTCAAGGAGGCTTGCAAAGGAGGGACCCCAACCCTCTGCCCACCAGCAGCTACTGAAGGGCCTCAATTGGCCTGCTAGCTGTCAGCATTGGTATAATTTAAGTGATGCAGTGCAGGTGGGATGGCAGCGAGCAATACACCCATTGAATTTAATGAGTCACCTTACCTTCAAATCCACTGGTGGGGTGGTGGGGTGGTGTGTGGTGGTGTGGTGTGGGGCGGGGCGATGACTAAACCCAGCCTATTATTCTTGAGAACGACAAAAGGAGTGCTTGTGTGTCATATCACAAAAATATATTGAAACACTGTTAAATTATTCATACACATAAACAATGTTGCATCATAAAAAGACAGCATATTGTAAACCATATATGATGATGAAGAACATCCAATTATCAGGAGTCATAGCTATGAACTATCTAAAACCTGCAGAAATCTCTGAAAACATGCCCCTTTAAGTTTTAGGGCAGTCTTCCTTCTACTGAAGAGAACACCTCTCTCTTTCTACTGTGTATTTCTCAATAATGGTAAAGGATAAATTTCAATGTCAATCACTTTACATATTTCAACTCCAACAACAAAGCTCAACTGGTATATTATGGGTGGAAGGTTTCGAACATCTGTGGAAGGCTATATCTGGAGAGGAGTTGTGCAACATTGAGTACCAATAGGCTATTTGAATGTGAGTTGTCTCTTTTCATAGAATAAGGGGAAAGAAGTTGGTGGCCAGATATATTTTATTCACATAATTAATATTATAAAGTCGATGCAAGCCATAAAATCAAAGAATAATATAGCATCAAAGGAGGCCTAATGGCCCAACATGTCTTTGTCAGTTTTTTTAGCATACCTACCGACCAAAATCCACTTCTCTTACTTCTCCAGTGCCCTAGGACCTTTCTTTTTGCCTTCAAGTACTGCATCTGCTTAACAACCTTTTGCAGGCAGTACATTCCAGATCACAAGGTTCTGGGTCAAGTAAAATGTTTTCTTATGTTGCTTTTGGCTTCTTTCATAATCACCTTAAGTCCATTTACCTTGACTACCAACACTTCTGTAACCAGACAGAATTATTCCTTTTTACTTTACCAAATCTCATCATAACTTTGAACACTTCTGATAAACAGGCTCTAAACTTTTCTGAACAAAATGTATCACTTTCCATTTCTCTGTGTTAAATCACATTTGCTGGAAATTTGCTCAATTCTGAAGTTTGTCTACGTTCTCTTGAAATCTGTTAAAATCCTCCACAACGTTTACTACAATTGCAAGTTTCATTTTATCAGCAAACTTTGCAATCATGTACTATATAACCATCTTAAGGTCATTCATATATATGGGCTTAACTGTTCTGATCTAGATTGGAATCGTTATTTCTAATCCAGATCAAATGAAAGGTTTCCACGAACCTTTCCAGGACTTTTCTAGTCAGACTTTTGTTGTGGGGTCCATCCCAACAGAGGTCCAGCATGCCATGCGGTTAGCACTGGAGTGAACTGTTGTCTAGGCCCGAAACATTGACCCTCCTGCTCCTCTGATGCTGCCTGACCTGCTGTGTTCTTCCAGCTCCACACTGTGTTGACTCTGACACCAGCATCTGCGGTTCTTGCTATCTCTGGGTGAGAAGTAGGTCGGCAGATATTGTGTCAAAGTGTACGGTAGTGTTCTGAGAGGTCCTGAGAACCTCTTTCAGGGTAAGCCTGGTCTCTAACTATTCAGATAACGGAAGATTTGGGCTATGAATACAGCAGTGGTCCTAATACCCTCTAAGGACCATCAGTGGCTCTCACTGCATGTTGGTGAAAAACAACCGTTTACCACTACTTTCCTACCTTCTATTCATTAGCCAATTTTGCACCCACATTACCTCTATCATTGTACTTCTAATGTTAGCAAACTTAAAAGCTGTAATGAGTCTAACAAACAATTTTTCCCTTTCTTTAGCTTTAGGCTTCTCCATACATTATTGATCAACATTCTGGAGGCACCATCTCTCGGGGGTGGGGGGTGGAGATAATGTTATACTGAAATCTTCGTTGTGTAGTTCACAAGAAAACATTAAACAACAACAGGCTACTCTGCTCACTAAATCATTTCTTATCATAGGCCATCTTTCCAGCAATTCTATGATGGATTTGATCCAATAATTTAAGGGGAAATACATACGTTTATTGCATGGGAGTATTTGACAACACTTTCTTCTTATTTGAATGATGTAGAAAATCCTGTACAGAACAAACACATTTACCTTCGAACAACAAACTTGAATGTAACTAATTTACATCAGCGATAAAGTAAAAATCAATTTTATGTTTTAACTAATCGTTTTGAAAGGTATGACCTCTTCTCAGGGATTAATATGTGCTACATTGGTTTATGTTATAGTTATACTGTCAGTTCTGATACAGCTAATAAATTCCTATTTTGAACACTGATTGCAATCAGACTGGCTTCAGTAATAGCAAAGGTCCAAGATATGCATTTCTGATGCACTCACAAAGCTTTATACTTTCCAAATATTGTAACAAAGCAGTAAGAATATCCAATTTTTGCCTAAAATTAAAATTATGCAATAAAAAGTTTTAAATCCACAAAGCTGTCCAATGTAATCTCACTGGACTTATATCGTAGCAGCTATGTACTAAGGTGCCAAATTTGACAACTGAATTATTTTGTTGTCTTTCATGTAGCACACCTGAAACTAATTCTCATCAATGTAAGAGTGGCAGTTAAAGAGATGTCTTTGAATATATACCTTTCAATTATTTTAGTCCAAACTGGAGTTACCTAAGTATTATGACCACTGGAATTATAAAGACTGAGAAAGGAGAGTATTTCCCAGGGTACACAAATAACCTTTGACATTTTGAACAGTCTGATGGCTCATCCTTGGGAACATTGGACATTCCTAGGCATTGCAGCCGACCTGGACCATTTTCAGCTTACCAACCAACAGTTATAGTGTATTAGGTCGAGTCAGAGTAAGAAGGAATGCAATAAGTTCCAAATTAGATTTACAGTACATGTTGGTGAACACATGGGGTGTCATAAATAAGATTGGTGAGCTGCAAGCATAGTTAGCCAAATGGAAATATGGGGCTAGAGTTTACGCTCTCCTTCTGGCAGGTTTGAAGGCAGGGTACTTGTAAAATCAAGCAGGTGGCATATTCCCCCATACTCAACATGTCGGACATTTTACAGGAGAGTAGGAGAGTCGTCAGATGTCCCCCCTGTCCTTGGTTCTATTGAAGCCACTGATGGCCAATTAATAGAAGAAGCAATAGACCATCACAATGTCTAAGACCTTGGCAGGGGGATATTACAGGGCATTACTGATTGCTCTAGGACCCTGACCCAGTGCCCTTTGAGTCTGTGCTTTCTCCATGAGGTTTTGTGTTGTCTGACATTGGTAAAGAGGGCATCTATGACTTAGATGATTCTGCAGAAGTCTGTTGCTGATCACGGCACTGATGCCTGTAATAATCTGCCCAAA